AATGTCTCGTTTTTTTTCTCTGTACAATTGAGGTCAGTGATCACCAAAACTGTCTGGTTAACCAACATTCTTCATAATATATTCTGTTGTATTCTTCAGAAGAGAGAAAAGCACACAGGTTTGAAATGATGTGGGGGTGAGTAAACAATAACATAATTTTCAGTTTTATGTGAACTTTAGGTGAAACTGCATGTTTGATTAGATATACAAATGTGAAAGTGTCATGTGCAGTAGTTTTTATACAAAAATGCACTTATATATTAATAATGCTATGTCATTCAGACATTTTTTTTTAGGTGTGCCAAAAGTGTCTACATATTTTTTGGGGCTGCTGTATATGATGTCATATTAGTGACTTATATAACTGTAAACAAATGCAAAATGTTTTTCAGACTGATTCCCTTGGATAAATTTCCTGAACATTTTCTAAACATGATTCGTGATGAGAATAGAGGTTTCAGTGAGGAATATGAGGTAGGGTTTATCAAATATGAAATTTCATTTTTATTATTTTTTATCTATTTTGAGTGGCATTAAAACAGAACGAGGCCTAGTTGGGACTGTTGCAAAGTATTTACACGCTGAAAATGCCAACATGCTTTTATGTTAGAATCATCAAGTTAAGTCTTGATATTCAGAGCGTTTGTTGAGAATGTTTTTACTGAATATGTTTTAACAGGACTTGAGTTCAGTGGGTATAGAACAGTCCAGCGTTGCAGCTCTTCTGCCTGAAAACAAGGACAAAAACCGATTTTCCAATGTTTTAGCCTGTGAGTGTTTACACACACACACACACACACTGATTTGTGTGGGATTTTCCATAGATGTAATAGTTATACTGTCCAAACTTTATTTTCTATCTCCTTACCCTAACCCTGCCCCTAAACATAGACTCACACAAAATGTTCTGCATTTTTAGATGTTCCAAACACTTGGTATTACTATCCTTGTGGGGACATTTGGTCCCCATAATGTAGGGAATACCAGGACCACACAAACACACGTGCGCACGCACGCACGCACACACACACACACACACACACAGTGTCTGTCTAAAAATGTCATTTTATCCTCCTCTCTCTGTCTTTAAGATGACTCCTCTAGAGTGCATCTCACCACAAATGATGAGGGTGATTCTGATTATATCAATGCTAACTACATGTCTGTAAGTACATAGTAGTTAACATCAGCTGTAATTCATTACACAAGGCATTACCTTGCTTGTATCTCCAGAGAAAATGTTCCTGGTGGATTGACATTTGTTTATTGTTTATGTGCATATCAGGGCTACGCCAATGCAAGCAGACAGTATATCGCTGCTCAAGGTCCACTGCCATCCACTGTCAATGACTTCTGGAGAATGGTTTGGGAGAAAAGGTCACAGGTCATCGTCATGGTAACCAACTGCACTGAGAGTGGAAGGGTAAGGCAATGTTCAGAATAGAAGACTGCTTACTGTTGTATGAAGTGTTTACTGACTTCCATTCGTTTAATAATCACTACAGTATATGGAACTATACATTATGTAGTGATGCATGAAATAGTATTATGCTACATTATTGTTGCATGAAGTTTAATTAAATTATCAGGGCTGAAAAAATGTTTGTTTGACATTTTTATTCCAATTTTGTGTAAAACACCATATTCAGAGTGGTCTGGTTGCATAATTTCTGTAATAACATTGTTAACACTACAGCAGATTTGTCCTCTGCACTTGGTGCAGTTATTTGAACGTACTATATATATATATATATATATGCCGTGTATTTATGGACACCTACTTGTCTCAGTGAAATCGGAGGATAAATTTCCAAGTTGGACTCTGCGAGAATTTAATGTCAAAAATGTGAGCTGATATATTTCTATCCCTCTGTTTCAAAAATAGCTGTAAGTTGTAAGGTGCTACACACAGTCAGAAATAGCAGAAGCTTTGACAGACTTTATCACATTTTACTTGTATCATCAGTTACTGTTCACCAAATGTGAACTTGTCATGGTTCAAAAAAAGCTTTTTTTTTAAATATATATATTGAACTCATTTCAAAAGATCAAGAAAAACCTTATTCCTCCTGATATGAGTCATTTAACTTGAATATGAATATATTAACACATTACTGGTCACATTAGCATAAGATCTATTTCTGTCTATATTTGCATATAACAGAAAACCACCTCTGAGACACGAACAGTGAGGCACTTCCACTTCACAGCATGGCCGGATCATGGCGTACCCACTGGCACAGAGGAGCTGATCCAATTCAGAGGACGCATCCGTCAGCACGTAGAGAGCTCTTTCTCTGCAGGGCCAACAATTGTACACTGCAGGTGACCACTGCTCACTTTGAAATCCACCTCAAACATTAACTTTTGACAGAAACATGAATAATGACAGTCAGTCAACTGCTAAAAGCTGACAGCAAAGCAATATGAAGAGTGAGCATTAATAAATAACTACATTGACTAAATCAATAAAGCAACGTTTTAATCCTTCTGTATTTGTCACCACCTCTGTACTCTAGTGCCGGAGTGGGCCGGACAGGTACCCTGATTGCGCTGGATGTTCTGCTGCAGCAGCTGGACAAAGAGAAGGCAGTGGGAATTTCAGCATTTGTCCAGCAAATGAGACTCAGCCGGCCACTAATGGTGCAAACTGAGGTAACTGTTTCAATCCATTATTTTAAAAAGCATTTATTGTGATAGGTTTATTGGCAATTTAGCATAGAATTGGGTTCTCGGTGTTGTTATTATCATAGTGGTGATTATTTTGATGATGAATATAGCCTATTTGTGTTATGGCTAACTTTTTCCTGGAGGATCCAAATAATATATATATATATATATATATATATATATACACACACACACACACACACACACACACACACATACAGGCTGCTGTGGTCAATGGAATTTTACTGTAAAAAAAGGTGGCATTTGGGAGACTGTATATTTTCCAGTAGCTAACCATATATCAAATAATAATGTTAAAATATCAAACTACTTAAAAGTTTATGTACTAACAACCAGTGTGCTGTTGGAAGTTTATTCACTGCATTCAAGCAAATGAGTAAAGTATATATACAATAAAATACAGAAATAACTAAGCAACATTAAATGAAAACACTGCAATTTCTATACACACACACACACACACACACACACACACATACAGGCTGCTGTGGTCAATGGAATTTTACTGTAAAAAAAGGTGGCATTTGGGAGACTGTATATTTTCCAGTAGCTAACCATATATCAAATAATAATGTTAAAATATCAAACTACTTAAAAGTTTATGTACTAACAACCAGTGTGCTGTTGGAAGTTTATTCACTGCATTCAAGCAAATGAGTAAAGTATATATACAATAAAATACAGAAATAACTAAGCAACATTAAATGAAAACACTGCAATTTCTATAACTAATAGCAATAAAATAAAGACATAAGAAATATAATTTTACTGTTTTTTTCCCCATTATTCCATATATACATACAGTGATATTACTGCTACTTCTACAATTAGGTAAGACTTGACAGCAGCTTCCAGAATTAATAGCAAAGCACAATAACATGTAGTAAATATTTATAACAGCACTTGCTATTAGCAAGTTATCAAGGTATGCTTATTTTGAGTTCAAAGGACATTTCAAAACTCTTTGGTCAAACAGGGTGGCATCTGTATTTTTTATGATTACTACATATTATTTAATTACAGGTAATAATCTTATCACTAGGAAATAAGGAAATGCATATTCCTGGCAGACACTCTTTACTTTCATGTGTTTTATGCTTATCTCTCTGACTCTTACAGTCTCAGTATGTGTTCCTGCACCAGTGCATCATGGATACTCTACAACCCAAAGTTGTGCCCAAGTCAGAGCCTCTCTATGAAAACTCAGACATGATTTATGTCAACGCAATAGCATTAAGAGAATATGAAAAATAAAGTCAAATATGAGCAGAAATATAAGCCATATCATATGGTCCAATGGCCCATTTTAAATACACAGCCTTCTATAAATAAACACTGAAAGCCTGGATTATACGGGTATTATAAACACTAAAATGCTGTTATTATTATTATTTTATTTAAACAGTCTTCTGCTAATAAGACTGAAAGATACTGGCCATGGTATTTTGAGCCTAAGCTATAAAGCACTAAAAGTTTACCATTTAAACTTAACTGCCAGTCTTTATTTAACTAAATAGCTGTGTATAGGCTTGTTTTTAATGTTCAATTTTTGCTTGATAAACTGTGCTCTCTGAAAGGAAACTTTCCTTTGAGCTGTACTTAGTGCTGCTTATTTTGCACATTGCTTTTAAATGAGATTTTTGTTGTTCTTGTTGTTAAAATTGAAATAAGAGATGGTCCATTTAATATCAGTTGAATTCTATTTGTTTTAGATTAACAGAGAAGAAAAGTATTTTTCCATTTTTTTATTTCGCCAGTGTCATGTATTCTCAGCTGCCTGTCGTATAACATGCTTTAAAGGAATAGTTCATCTAAAGACGATAATTGTGTAATTATTTACATCAGGACTGGGTACCCTGATTTAAATCATTTCAAATCTGTATGCAAAATAGATAATGATTTTTCAGAGCTGCCATGAAGTGGAAAATTATAGAGCTTCACAGATATGGTTTCTGCAAACTGTTGTTATATGGAAAGAGCCGTGTAAACATTCTTCAAACATTTTTGTATTTCTTAAATTACCAATCAGAGTTTAAGATTAAGTTGCGGTCACATTAGTGAAATTTCAGTCAAATTTAAGTAATTTTCACATTCGCCTTCACATATTTGGGTAAATAATGTTGTGCGTTACCTGCTTTGGTATTTGCTGGTCATGTAATTTTTTTGCACTTTAGTAAGAACAGAAATTTAACTGAACTTTAAATTTTGAATACATTTGCATCATGTCCTAATCAGGCATAACATGTTTCCATCCACAAGCAATTTGTAAATAAATAACTTAAAAAAAAAAAAAAAAAAAAGTACCGGCTATTAACATCTTTTATTAACATCTGGACATGGTACCATGGTAATACATGTGTTCAACTCTTTTGGTGTATATATAAATATGATAATCATTCACTATTTTGCTGTATTTGAAAGCACTATGGTATTAACAGCTGATAGCATCACTGAGACATGGTACCACTCCAATACCATTTCTTATAACAGACTTGTATTATTAAGAGAGTGCCATTTAAAGTCTTTCATAGATATTTTGTTTTTATTCACATCACTTGTTGACAAATATTACTGTATTAGCATTAACTTATTTTGATCAATTATTGATTAATTGAATAAACTATGTGAAGAATCAACTGGCATTGGCATGCATTTGTCTGTGTTCATTTCAATAATAGTATTCAGTACATGGTTTAACCTCTAATGGTTTCTGGCTTTTTGCAATCACAACTGTTCTTTTACATATCTGGTCACATCTTGGCCTTCATCTTCTGCAATATTAAAAAACGTTTCTATCATTTCATCTTTAGTGTCTTCCATGTAGTCAAATGGCTGCTCTGCTATTATGTTCACCACCTCAGATGGTGGGTGGAGTGGCTCTGCGCTAAAATCTAAGGGTAACGGTACGGAGAACTTCTTGCAGATGTTGTGCAGGACACAGCAGGCTTTGATGGTACATTCCACTGACTCAGGTGACTGAATGGATCCAATGTCACGCAGGCACTGGAAACGGCTTTTCAAACTGCCAAAGACCTGTTGTGCACGGCCGTGTAGCTGAGCATGTGCTTTGTTAAATCGCAGGGCTGCGTTGCTTTTGATACGAAAAGCCTCGGCAGGTGTCAACACATGTCCACAACCATGCAGACTTCTGCTACCTGTGGGACACAAAGACAAAAAGAGGCAACTGAAACACACTACATTTCCTGACTGGAGTTTATTTTAAATCATGATTTTATTCATTTTACAGCATAGTATTGCAGGTCAGTTATGTTTATTATTCAGAAGTGTCTGATAGTTGAATTCCATAACTGACCCACAAGAAGTATTACAGGAAGCAATGTAGTAAACAACGTAATATAAAAAAAATGAACATTATGGTCAATATATTTTATTTAAAAGGATTTAACTAATTAATTAACTAATAATAGAGCACATTACAATGTCTCATGCTAACTAAGAAAACAGCATTTATCTGATCAGAAATACAGGAAAAAAAATATCATATTGTGAAATATTACAATTTAAAATACCTATTTTCTATTTGAATTTAAAATGTCATTTTTTTTTCTCTGATGACAAAGCTGAATTTTCAGAAGCCATTACTCCAGTCTTCAGTGTCAGAAATCAATCTAATATGCTGATTTGCTGCTCAATAAAAATGTATTATTATTATCAATGTTCAAAACGGTTGTGCTGCTTAATATATATATATATATTTATTTTTTTATTTTTTTTTAATGAATATAAAGTTAAAAATAACACTTTAACAATTATCAATTTTAACTTGACAGAAGTTACTTTATATAAATAGAAAGCACATTAAATGCACGCAAAGTGTCTACTTTAATGTTTCAAATAACTTTTGTGAAAATAAATGGTCAATATATGGGTGAAATAATGCTCCATCTTCATTCAGGGTAACAAATATATTTATGTAAAAATTAAACACTTGTTCTGACCTGTACTTATTCAAATATATAAAAGAAAAAGTGATCACATTACATGTGATTATATTTTAAATGATTTAGAACTTTTTGTTGACTTCACTCCTCAGAAAAATAATCAGGACACATAATTCTAATGCAAGGGGAAGTTTTATTACGCTTGCTTCTCAATGGTTCTTACCAATAACCCACGTATGACCGTGTTGAAATATGCTGAACTGTCTGCCAATGTCTGAATTTTCCCAAACAGTGTGTTCAGGAGTTCCTCCGGGACAGCACTGCTCCAGACTCAACAGATTCCCGTCCACGTCGAATATTACCTGCATCATGACTGAATGATAACCCAGGGTGTTCATATACATGAGCTCCTCCCCGACCGGAGGGCTCACCTTCAGGTGCAGATACCCCAGCACTCCCACCACATGCGGGATGCCGCTCAAGTTCTTAAAGGCTTGTGCGGCACCCATGCGGTCGTTGTAACTGTTTGGGAAAGTGATGAAATCGGGACTCATTTCTGATAAGAGTTTGGTAATGGTCTTCACCGCCTCGCCCGCTGCTGTCTGGCCTATTCCCTGCCGAACTGTGCTTGTACTGGGCAGAGACCCTTGTGCGTAGTAGGCAAGCGTGGCCAGAACGTTGGCTTCCGCGGAGGTCAGGCTGTGACTGGGCGCAAACACGTCTTTCTTTAAACGGGCCTGGATGAAATCGACGACGAACCGCAAACACTGTCGATTGAGATGTAAAGTCTGAGAAATAAAGCGATCGTCCAGTTCGTCCAGGACACTGTGAGTCTCGGAGGCGGAGATGGGCTCACTGATGCTGGATTGTTTGTCTTGAGCTATGTTGCTGATGCTGGGTGCTGATGATGTGTTACACACTCCGTTTGTGAATAAATCATCCTGAACAGCAAACCACAGCGCTCCAGCTAAAGACATTACGAGCAGCTGAAGAAAAAGAATAGCCTGTAAATATATTCCTTTCGGTTATATTTGTTTAAAAAATATATGCATTCATTTGACCGTCTGGCTTACAGTGGTGGGACAGCAAACTACCAGTGAACTGGACGATAAACCTCACATACAAGAATCTTCAGAGTCCACGAAAAATCCAGTATAACGACCAGGCATTCCTTAACCCAGCTCTTCTGCATAATGTCAATATATACATCTGAACGCCAGCCAATGTAATTAAAAACCTACATTTTAAATGCAAAACAAGAAATTACTTCGAAACATCTTCTTCTTCTTCTTCTTGTTTTATGGCGGGTGGCATCCAACGTTAAGGTGCATTACCGCCACCTACTATACTGGAGTGTGGACCAGAGTGACTAACAAAACTTTATAAAAAAATAAGTTATACTTTATATTCTATTTATTAACCCAGTTTTCCTCAAGAATACAATTAAATAATTATAATGTCCTGTTTGACCGAATTACTGCGAAACATTCTTCTTCTTCTTGTTTTATGGCGAATAACTCCTTAGGAGCATTATCGCCACCTACTGTACTGGATGTTAAGTAAACTTTCATAGGTGATTACTTCGAAACATGCCTGAGTTGACGTGTTTAAACATCCGGGTCATGGGGTTTTCATTTCATAATAAAAGTCCTAATAGCTGCGAAATGCAAATGAAGAAAATACAGTACAACAAAATAAACCCAAAATAGATTTATTACCGAGACCGACGTCAATTTTTTGAAGCTTTATTACAAATGATTTACTTTGGCAAACTATTAGTTTCAGTCACACATTTGCATACAGAGTAGACAGCTTCATTTTTGTTGTTGTTTTATTATTAAAATGCATTTTGAATAATGTGTTAACATTGCGTTTATTCGTGTGTTTATAGAAAATACAAGAAATTATATTTTGTGTAATAAAACCTGGCCTTTTTTAAAGGTAGATTTTACACTTGGTTAAAATATTTGGTTAAGCCAGGCAGATATGAGAGTTTGTATATAATATATGAATTTATTTGTAAACAAAATGTTTCTCTAATTTGTAGATATGTTTAGCATATTTTTGTTTTCTAGGAAAGAAGTGGAATTCTATTTGGATCCAATGCGAGGTCTATCATTTACTGTTTGGAAACTTTTGGTGTCATTTATTAAGGGTTAGAATAGAGGGCGTGAGTGTTGCTATACACGAGTTTGCAATTTATTAGCGTTTTCTGGGTGGTTTTTACCAAAGACTATAGAATACTCTTGCAAGAGTAATAAAGGGACTTTGATTTTTACTTTGGTATCCCGAACCACTGATTGTTATGTCGTTTTATGTCAACGTAAAACAGTGAAGTTTGACACAATCTACCACTGTAAATTAAGCAAAACAAAACAAAACAAAACAACAGATTAAAGGCAACGCATTAATCATTTCCCCTAAATGATGGCTTTAACTTTAAGAAGAATATCAGTTAATAATGGCTTTAGGAGGGCAATTCACCACGTGACTTTAAACTCGGTGAAAGGGCAAAGATTTTACAGCAACATGTCAAAAGAAGAAAGAAAAGGCGCTGACCCAGGTAAGTTTTTCTGTGAACTATAAGTTGGACTTCAGAAACGGGTGAAGCCTTTTATCGTAGTTTATTTTCGACAGAAATCCAGTTTTACACATAATGTCAGCGTTCACAGTGTGTGTATATGGTTAGAAACGACGTCGCACACATCCAGTGTAGGTGTGAGACTTTGTCATATTTATTAATTATAATATTAATTACAAGAAACATTTATTATTATAACATTTATTGGTGAGCATAAGAGACTTCTTTCAAAAACATATAATAATAACAATACAATATAATAATACTAATAATAATAACATTAATAATAAATGTTTTTGAGCAACAAAAACATTTATTAGACTGATTTCTGAAGGCTCATGTGACACTAAAGACAGGAGTAATCACTTCTGCAAATTCAGCTTTGCCATCACAGGAATAAATTACATTTTAAAAATATATGAAAATAAAAAAAACAGTTATTTTACATTGTAATACTATTTCTCAATATTGCTGTTTTTACTGTATTTTTTATCAAATAAATTCATCCTAAGTGTGCATAAGAAACTTAATTCAGTAATTCAATTATTCCAAACTTTCCCAAAAAGCATTTGGACAAACAAAACAAATAAATAAATAAATAAATAAATAAAAATTATCTATTATATTGTACCTGTCAACAGATTAATTCAATGTTCATGCATTTCCTGATTGTGGAAGGTGCAGGTGGGACAGTGATTTCAGAGAGAAGGGGTACGGTGATGGTTATTGGGATTAACCGTCCTGAAGCACGTAATGCAGTAAATCAAGAGACTGCTCAGAGATTGACCAAGGAGCTGTCAGCCTTTGACCAGGACAACAGCCTTAATGTGGCAGTGCTTTATGGAGTCGGTAAGTTTACTTACACACTACTATTGAAGTGAACTTTGGTGCACTTTGATGGTTAGTGAAAATAATAAATGTCATCTGATTGAGCGGTAAAGCAAATAAATAGTTTATACATGCACTATCCCCCCCCCCATTAAATATATACTTGGTTATGTCTAAAGCTTAATAAAATTTTCTTCAAATTTGCCTACATTCTAAAAGCTGTTAAATATTTGACTAAGTGGGCAGCACATGGCTACAAGAGTCCTGTGTTGTGTCAAAGCCTGTAATGACAATATTACCACATTGAAAACAATTATCCCAGGCCATCAAATTGCACACCATCATTAGAAATAATTTGTTCAACCTGGATCAACCATCTCTGCTCAAATTTCCTAAATCACCTTTATCATGGTCAAATGAGAGGTTTTGCTCTCTCTCACACTCTAAACCTGGAGCTCAGCCAGAGGACTGTCTGCAGGTGAACTGAGCACAGTAGATAACATTACATAGACCGCAACATAAAGAATGTGTGATGACAGTAATTGCTTAAGCTTTGAGGAGGTGAATGAGTGCCAGAGGTAATGATGGCCACATAAGAACTCCCTTATTTCACCAGAACAGAAAGTTTAAAATTACTCTTGTAATTAGTATGTATTCCCATCCCTTGTGAAAAAGAAGTGTGCTTAATTGTGGTAAACATGCATTTGTAGTGTACCTTTAAAGTATATAAAAAAACTGTAATATATATAATATTAATTTTGATAAAATTAAATAAAGACCACTTAATGTATTTAAAGAGAGAACACTTTAATAACTATTTTTCTTTACACACTTAAGTACACAAAAGTGCACTTTGTAGTAATGTCAAATCAAAAGTTCTACTTTAAAATGAATTTTAAATCATTGTTTTAATAATCTTTTGTTGTGCTTTACAGAAGTACACTTATTTTTAATGTGTTGACTAACATAAGCACATGGAAAGTACTTGTTTATAATTTTAACTGTAGTGTAATTTTGCATAATTTACTTTTGTTACTTTAGTAAATCCATGTAACATCTTTAACAATTAAAGATTAAAATAAAGGTGTACCGTAAAGTTAATAGATTTTTAATGTATTAAATTGCAACTTCATCATTACAAATTAAAACAATATTTAAGTACAGGTTTCATTAGAAATTACATTAAAGTATATTTTAGTTAAATGCCTGTAATACATTTGGCATTACACTGTATAAAAAATAACTTTTCTGTTTGAATATTTTTGAAAATGTAATTTTAATTTCCTGTGATCGCAAAGCTAAATTTTAAACAGGCATTACTCCAGTCTTCAGTGTCACATGATCCTTCAGAAATCATTCTTATATGCTGATTTCTGAAGGTTCAGATATTTTGAAGAATGTATGCTGCTTCCCCATTGACTTCCATACCATTTTTTTTCTCCATACTACGTAAGTTAATGGGGACCAGCAACTGTTTGGTTACCCACATTCTTCAAAAATCTTCTTTTATGTTCAACAGAGGAAAGAAACTCATACAGGTTTGTAACAACATGTTGCCTTCTCAGTTAAATAATCGAGTTGTTTGTTTCAGGAGGGAATTTCTGTGCTGGTTTTGATCTGAAGGAGTTGGCCCAGAGCTCTGGTTCTCTCAAACTGGAGGAAGATGTCTCCTGTTGTCCTAGTCCCATGGTACGGAGTGGTCCTTCTTAGATGCAGTATTGCACAGTAATACTAGAGGAGTCATTTAATACATTACTTTTAAGTCTTCTATAATGTTATAAACATTTCTTGTGCCAAAAATAGTTTTCATGACCATTTCCCACCAGTTCTATGACCCTTCATGCATTAACAGAAACATTAAGAGCCATTAATTCAAATTAAAATGTCTACCAAAATATTCATAATGAAGCAAACATTGCAGTCATTGCAACCATTTTTTCCCCTTTGCATTGCGAAAAAGGCTGGCCAGCCAAAAAGATTTGTGCTTTTGTGCTGTTACATAAAACGTCTCCAGGTTACGTATGTAACCATGGTTCCCCAAAGGGAACGAGACGCTGCATCGAAACGCTTTGGGAACGCCCCCGGCGAGACCACGTTCTGAAGCATGTATGAAATCAGTCCACTAGAGAAGCAAGACGTCATGAGCGGGGTGACGTGAGCAACCAGGAAGTATAAAAGCGCATCCGGCCAACGCACATGTTAGCTTCTGCGGAAGCGAGCGACTGCAGTGATGCAGGGAGTATGGCAGAAAGACGCAGCGTCTCGTTCCCTTCGGGGAACCATGGTTACATACGTAACCTGGAGATGTTCTCCTTCAGGAACTTGAGCTGCGTCGAAACGTTTTTGGAATACCCACTGCACCATATGAGCAAATCCCTGTCAAGTGTGTATCTGGTGAGCACATCAAGACGAGCTTGGGACCCTGGAGTAGATGTCAGGTCCAAATTGTAAAACGGACAAATGTGTGTGGAGAGGACCAGCCCGCTGCAGCACAAATATCTTGAAGGGCCACGCCCACTGATAAGGCCTTGGAGGCAGCCATACTCCTAGTCGAGTGCGCTCTGACCCCGACGGGTTACTGGAGGCCAGAGGACTCGTAGGCCAGTGTGATGGTCTCAACCACCCACCTACTCATAGTTTGCTTGGTCGCTGGAGCCCCTTTCTTAGGTGGACCAAGCAAACAAATAACTGATCTGCCTTACGCCATTGGGCAGCTCTGTGACCGTAAGCGTGCTCGCACTGGACAAAGCAAATTGAGTCTTTCCTGGCCTGCTTTCTGGAAGGGAGGAGGACAAAAAGGCTTGCAGTACTACAGGACCCGGCGAAGAAGTGGGCACCTTAGGGACATACCCGGGTCTCGGGTAAAGGAATGCCCTAACCATGCCTGGGGCA